AGCAGTGGCCGCTGGCTGTGCTGATGCCAGACGCGGTAGGCGCTGGGCTGGGGCAGATGATCAGCTTGGTGATGGAAAACTGGTGATATTTTCCACTGGTGGTTTCAAACATGAATTAAAAAAAATCAATTTCATATATGGGATATATAATCCTTCCCATTGACGAACTCCATCATTTTTCAAGATGGTTTTTTAACCACCAACCAGTCCACATCCTTGTGTTTTTTGTTGTTTCGTGCTGGATGGAATTCAACCAGAAATTGGGAAGGTTTAGTAGCAAAACACAGGAACTTCACCAAGAACAAGCGTGATTTAAGCTACAAAAAGCGGGAGCGACTCATAAGAACCGGAAGATCACCGGGATGGCGAAACAGATGATGGAACTGATGGGAACATCTGGAGTTTTCACCACAGTGGCTGTTACATTTCTGTGATACATTTCTATTTTATACAAATGTCTTCAAGGTGACTTTCCCACAGAAGTCAGATATATTCATGTATATATATATATATATACATAGATAAATAAACAAATAAATAAATATATAATATATATATATACACATAATATTTATACATACCCACCCAAGATTTTCCCGCCTGCCCACTTTCTTTCAGGGTGATCAAAAACTAGCCTTGGACCAGCATCGCCCAAGGCCTTTGGCCCTTCAGCCACTTTGGGCCTGATTTTTGCGACAGTCAGACGCCCCACAGCCCACAGCGGGAGATACTTGGTGTGAAGTTTTTGGTTCGTCTCTACAATGCAACCGATGTAAAAATGGCCCTCATGCCAAGAACTCAACATTGGTTTCTCATGTATACTCTCATCCCACTCCCAAAAACTGGAACCCCAAATTGAGTAGAATCATCATCTTTTTTTGGCCGATTTTCACCAAGACTAGGCTCCTCCTGACTTTGCTCCACAGCTTGGCGAGCTTGGAATGCCAACACCCAGAAGTGATGATGATGTTGGACCCGGAGGCCCTGTTTGGTCCGATCTTTTGGTGACCCCCCTGGGGACGCCTTGGCAAAACTCGTGACCAGTTTTTTCACACCGGTGGCGGTAAAAGGAAACGTGGTGCTCATGGTAACACGAAGAGAATCGATGGAACTGCTGATGTTTCTTGGTCTAGCAGTTCTTTCCGATATTCCATTGCCGCAACATACAAACAGGATGAGTATCCGCAAGTCACTCATAATGTCAAGCCCGGATTTTGCTAAACCATGGTTTTATTAGGGGGGTACTCCTCCAATAGTCATAATCCAATACTTTTTTATGGTACCCTCCCAATTAAACAGCCTAGGCCTAGGGGTTTATTAATCCAGGGTTGACATGATATTCAAATTGTCAAAGGGGTTGGTTCCAAACAGCCAAAAGCCTCATATGAATCACCCGAAAATGGTGGTTTTCTTCGAATCCCAAAGGGCCAAACGTGAAATGTCTGTTGGTTTTTTGGTCACCCCATGAAAACAACTTGAATACGATAGATATATCCAGTTATATCCCATAGTTACTGGAGGTATAAATCAACTTATATCTAAGTTATAAAGCATCTAAATAGGATTTTCCATTATATACCAACCATTTTGGGGATCCCCCATTTTTGGAAACCCCCACTTATATAATCCCAGTGGGATAGTTGTTGATTGTTTTTTTCAGAGCAAAACGCAGGAACTTCGCAGCCTCCGGTCGTTGCTGCAGAGGTCTGGGACCTGCCGGGGGATGTGCCTTTGCTGCTGCGAGAATGTACCCTCTGGTAATGACTAACATAGCTATTGAAAATGACCATAGAAATAGTGGATTTACCCATTGAAAATGGTGATTTTCCATAGTTATGTTAGTTTACCAGAGGGTATTCATGGGTAGCGTCAAGTAATCTGTTAAACATGTTGATCTATGGATTTCCATATCAAAGGCATTGGTGTGTGAAGTTTGAGTAGACATGTTACCTCCCATCAACTGGTATACCCTCTGGTAATTTCACTTTTTTTTACGATGGCTCTTTCAGCCTCTTTTTAGCAGGCTTAAATTATCTATCAATAGGCAATTTTCCATACCCTCTGGTAATTTAACATAGCTATTGAAAATGGCCATTTATAGTGGATTTTCCCGTTAAAAATGGTGATTTTCCATAGCTATGTTAAATTACCAGAGGGTACTTGTTTTAGTTTACTCGAGGGTTTTATGTTATTCTAACAGGCTGCCATGCCACATTTATGGAGAGGCTGTCACCACTCCCCAGGTTGATCTGTCGTGGGTTTTTCCACATCGCTCGACGATGAATCGGACACCTTGTACTGAATAACAAACACCACATGTCCAGGCAGTAGGAAACTTAAGACACTTTGTACCTTTGTTATCCTTTGTTCAGGTATGTTATAAAGAGAGAGGTGCTTTAGGAATATCCTCTCAAACTGTAGTTTTGGTGTTTTGTTCATGTGGAATATCTCAAGACCCCCGGCGGATTGGCTCACTAAATCTTCTCCATCTGCAGGTTGATACCCAATTTATGTCCAATTTCGAGGTGATTCTGAGCCACTAATCATGATTACAACTTGGTTAATTTGAAGAAAACCATCAGTGACCATGAGGTTTTTCCCCCTTGAAGCCACTCAAAATCCTCCATGGTTTCCCCTTGAAAACGTCATCAGCTTGGACCCTAAAAGTCGCCAGGATAGAGACCTCCAGTTGCGACACGGGAACTTCCAAGGTCCTGGAGGCCAGGAATTGGCAGCAGAAATTTCTGCGGACTCGACACGACTCGACAAGAGAAATGCTGCTTCACAAAGAAGCATTAGGCTTTGACCAACAGCAATCTCGGTTTGCACCTGCCAAATTTTGTAGTTTTCGGGTCTTCCAATCGTAGAAGATGAACCCAGTTGCGGGACTCAGCAAGTTCACTTCCTATGTCGGATGATGATCCACAAGTATTGGGCGAAGAAATGTTGATAAAACATGATAAAACCGAAGTGTAAGGATTTTTGAAACTTTGGAGAATCGTGTCCTACCCAAGTTGGTCATTTTTTTGCTCTCGCTCTCTGGAAGACTCAGGGTAAAGGGGTCAACACATTTCTCAACAGACAGATGTTCGTCGAATCCTGAGGAACCTTCAGAATCATCTTTTTCTGTTGGTACCGCCCACATTTTCCTGGTGAAATCCCAATTTTTTGATGCTTAAAATCACTTAAAAGCCAATCTTTGTAATTATATTGTTGTGTAGATCAAGATTTTGGTTGGTTGAATCAAAATTAGCCATAAAGCACAGATTTTTGATTGTTCAGTTCCCATTGCGGTTTGGTAAATCACCGAAAAATGTTTAGGGGGAAATCCTAAGTTTTCCCGCCGCTCAAGGCCTTCCGCCGTTTCACGGACGGGGCCCGCCTTGGACGTGAGTCCTCCGTGCCGCGGCGTGTGGCGGCATTGGAGGCGGAGGAGCAACGCAAGGATGCGTGGCAGTGGCAGATGCGGGGCAAGGAGCGGCCGTTTTGCGCGGTGGTGGCTTCATCAGCGAAAAAACGGGAGTGATTTAGTGGGGATACCAGGGTAAGGTCCATGTGAATGAGTTCTTGTGGGGATTCTAGGCAACGTCGGGATTAGACAACTGGGCACTTAAGCAACAAACGGGGGGATAGTACAAACAACTTATTGGGATTTTATATGACAATGGAAAGGGAATCTTAAGAAGTAGTCAGTTGCTATTTACTAGGTAGTCCTTGGCGAATAGTTTGAAGGGGACTTATTCATAGCCAGTTTTGGGGTATCGGAGATCACGGAAGGCATTGACCTCTTTTTATTTGGTGACGCATGGCGTTTCATGTCCGAAGCAATGCTGCAGTTTCAATCTGGGTATGGGTCAATACCTATTAGTACCATTTTTAGTGGGATGAACATCCATAAATCCCAGCTATTTTGATGTGAACAGAAGGGGTACAAGGTTTTGACACACTGCCATCTCAAAGCATCATTTTTCTGGCACATCATTTCTCTGATGCAGATCACATCACTGCGACGCAGGAGCTGCAGCACCGCCTAGGCGCGCTCCGTCGCCTCAGCGGCCAGCGGAGCTCGCCAGACAAAGCGCCGCGGAGCTTCGCGGAGGCCATGGCGGAGTGGCACAGGAAGCGGGAAAGCTACGAGGATGGCGGCAGGGTTGGGGGTTGGCTGGGAACTAGGGGTTGGGGCTTGTTGAGGGGGTTGGGGGTTGGAAGTTGAGGCTCCGGTTTTTTCATGTCCAGGAGCGGCTCCAACAGCTTCGTTTCGAGCTGGGGCGTATCCCCAGTCAACGGCCACAAGGTGTGACGGTGACAGAGGTGGCCCTGAACGTTGCTTGGCGGTGAAAAGTCATCATTTTGCTGAAAAATGTCATGTTGAGGGGAATCATCCACCATTTTTGGACAAAACCCACATCCATCCACCAACTTCGGCAGGTTAAATCCATTGATCCCATGGTATTATATCAATATAATATATATATAGATATATATCAATTATATCACATTATATCACCATTTTCTTGGGTAAATCACCAGTTTGATTGGTTAAATCATAGCACGTGCATTTTTTTCCACGGCTAAATCACCAGTTCAGTTGCTTAAATCTCCATGTTTTGTTCTCGAAATCTCCAAATTCTTGCTAGGTACATCTCCATGAATCCCACATCATTTAGTTTGATGATTTGCCCAGCGAACTAAACCTCCACTTAGTTCGGCCATTTTCCACTAATTCTTGTTGGGAAACACCGGTTCCCCTCGGTTCCTCTGAGCGCCAGGCTGTGCCAGATGCGGCCTTTTGGGAGGCTGAAGGCACGTTGAGTCGAGCCAGCGATGCGGAGGCGTGGGGTGGTCAGGTGATGTCAGGTGAGCAGCGCGTGAGAAAATGATGGTTGTGAGAAAACATCGGTAGGATTGAATGATGGTAAATCCCATTATATCCCCTATAAATCCCCATGAATCCCATTAAATCACCATAAATCACCATGAAATCACCATTAAATCCCAATAAATCCCTAAAAAACCATATAAATCCAATTAAATCCCATTAAATCACCATAAATCACCATAAAATCACCATTAAATCCCACTAAATCCATTGAAATTCCCTCGAAACACGTGCCTAGTTGTTGATCGCCTCCCTCCGTCGCCAACGCTTGGGCGACGGCGCTGGACCCGGCTGCGGCGTGCGTCGGGCACTGGGGGCTGCGGTGGAACGTCTGGCGGTGGATCTCTACGACGCCTGGAATGGGGGAGGGGTGGATCCGGGGGGTTGACACCTGCTACGGCGGGAATGTCCCTGGATTCATCAACCCCAAACGGCCCAAACGGCTGCTTGCTTTTTTTTTTTGGGAGGGTACCATAAAAAAGTATCAGATATATAATGGCTATTGGAAGAGTACCCCCGTTTTTTTTATAAACCATGGTTTAGCAAAATCCGGGGTTGACATTTTCATGTGGTTAAAACAATGTCATGTTTACCACCCATAAAAATGGGAATGGTAAGTTTATACCACCTATTTGGGATTTTGGGGATGGATAGCCCAGGGCCCTGTGGATCTGGGATAGACTCGGATAGCCTCTGGTAATGACATACAAAAAGCATCAAAAAGCTATCGAAAATGGCACCTTGATAGGTGCATTTAGCTAGTAAAAATGAGGATTTTCGATAGCTATGCTATATGGCAGTGTGTCAAAACCTTGTACCCCTTCTGTTCACATCAAAATAGCTGGTAAATGGATGTTCATCCCACTAAAAATGGTATTAATAGGTATTGACCCATCCCCATATAGTTTACCGGAGGGTAGACCAGTAGATACCACCGTGACTCCGCGTGAATCCGAAGGGTCACAAGGATCACCGAACGAGTCACCATGGTGGAGATGAAGCCACAACCGGGACCATTATATCATATACACATAGTGTATATGAGGCCTCAAATATATATATATATAAATAATTATATAATTATATATATAATATGTATAATCTGTATAATATGTATAGTAGCATATATATAATATAATATAATATAATATAATATGATATAATATAATATACTATAGTATAATATAATATTATATAGTATAATAGAATATAATATGATATAATATAATATGATATAATATAATATAATACAACATAATATAATATAATGTAATGTAATGTAATATAATATAAGATATATACTATTATATATATACACTACATATGTGTGTATATACATATCTACTACATATATATATATAATAAGGGGTGTTTAGGGGCTGAACAAGTGAGATTACTTGCAGCTGAGGAGATGGAGAGCCACTTCGTCTACGAGCCTTGGCAGCCTTGGCAGCCTTGGCACCGGCAGATTGCCATCCTACATGGCCACAAAAAATGAGGAACATTAATTCAGGATGGGGCCCCCAAGATAGCTAAGTTGAGATATGGTTGTGGCTGAATTCTATGGTTTATGGTAGATATAACTATAGATAACTATGCTTAATTGGGGTTATAACGGTTATAAACCAACTTATAACTGAGGGGGCCCCATCCGGTTAGGTTTGCCAACATTCATAGGGTTTTTTCTGGGGATAGTTATATGGAGATATGGGAGGTGATTTTTCGAAAATGCTTTGGATTGTTTTCCGGTCACCAAGCATGATATACCCTTTGGTAAACTAACAGTTTGCTATTGAACATTGCCATTGAAATAGTTGAATTACCCATTAAAAACATGGTGATTTTCCATAGTTATGTAAACGTTTACCGGAGGGTATGGTCATTTTTCTGGGATACAATGGGATATTCACCCAACAATCTTCATGGGGATTTTCACCAACAATCATAGGGATTTCTAATTGGGTTAAAGCAATGGTAAACCATCCCAAAAAGCCCCAAATCACCATGAATTGGTGGTATAAACCATCAAAAGATGGGTGGTTTATGGCGTTGCTTTACTATAACATTATCAAATATATATAAAATAGGGGCTGAACCTTACAAAATGGAGACTTGCCAACCTAAGTCGGGACTTGATCAACTTAGAATGAGAAAGTTTACCCTCTGGTAATCTATTTGGGCAACTGGAAATTCCACATTTCAATCGGAACATCATGTTTTTCAAAGGGCCGTCAGGACTCGTAGGTGCTGGTCAGTTTGAGGATCTAGATTGTTCAATTGGGGCGGCAAAGGATGGAGCAAGGGATCTGCCTCTGCTATCAGTTACATCCACATTTTCTTGAAGATATCAGCATTTTTCCCAGCTTTCTGTTGAGTATATCAGCCCTTTTCCACTTGTTGTTGCTTTCAAATCTAAAGATTTTGGATGGTTTATTGACTTATCCATCCATGCTGATGAAACTCCTCATTTATGTTGGCAAATGACACATGTTGCAATCCGTGTGGCTGTACAGTCGGTCGAAAGGGCATGCCGGAACTATGCTTTGGATTCGCTGTCAGTTGCTACGAATCCAAACGATTGGAGAAACCGCATGTAACTAACCTCGTACGTGACTGGTTGGCGCTTCGAACGATTTTTTTCCCCCTGGTAAACATACAAAAAACTATGGAAAATCACCATTGTTCATGGGAAAAAACACTATATCTATTGCCATTTTCAATAGCTATGTTAGTTTACCAGAGGGTATGTTGCATCGCGATATGATGATCCTGATTAAGATAGCTCAGATACGACTTCTATCCATTGGATGTTCATCATGCAAAGTCCCCCATTCAAATGCAGTACCATGAAGAACTGAGGAAACTGCCCATGGCTCTTCAGTTCCTACATATCAGGGAGATGAACATCTTAACATATCTTAACCATCTTCTTTCTTGTATAATTCCCGCTCTGGCCGTTCAGATCATATCGTAAAATCTCCAGTTCCTACATCACTGGGACCCAAGACCCAAAAACGAAATGAAGATCATGTCCCGGGTGACGATTCCACAGTTTTGCATGAACGGTTTCCTGGTGAACGTTCAAACAATTCAACCAGGGTAACCAAAAAACAGTATCTGGTTGGTGGTTTGGAACATGAATTTTATTTTCCATAATATATGGGATGTCATCCTTTCCATTGACGAACTCATATTTTTAAACATGGTTAAAACCACCAACCAGTTCTTATTTATTGCTATTATGGATATTTCTGGGGATGAACCCTAAGTCATATGGGTACCCCCAGTTCTCATCCATTTTAGTAGGATTTTCCATGAAATAAACCACCCACTGTCGATTTCAGTATGGTTGAACATGGTTGAACTGAATGTCGCTTTCGCCCTCGTTATAAGAGCAACTGGGAACCAACACACACACACACACACGAGTCCTCGGTGGTTCTACACTATATGTACATATTTTTATATGTATATATGTATACATACATATATATGTATATGTATATATATATACATATGTATATATATATATATATACATATATATATATACATATGTATATATATATGTATATATATATACATATTGTCCCACTTATATATATATATACCAATAATATCCTTGCTATATCCCAACTACATCCTGGGTTCTCAAAACCAGGAACTGGTGCAGAATGCCGACGACAATTGCTACGACGCCACGGGTGAAGATCCCTGGCTGCGGCTGGAACTGCACCGTGGAAGCGCGGGCAGTTTCTTCGTTTCGGCGTCGCGGCTAAAGATTTGCGGAGGTTACCCTCTGGTAAACATACAAAAAGCTATTGAAAATGGCCATAGAAATAGTGGATTTACCCATTAAAAATGGTGATTCCATAGTTTTTTGTATGTTTACCAGAGGGCAGTCGGAGGCTTTCACGCCTTTATTTTGAGGGGGAATCAAAGGTACCATGAATCTGGATAGCAAGTGATCACTGTTTCGGAATCGGTTCTTTTTCTTCTATATCTTCTACTTTGGAAAAAATATATTAGAGTGATATTCACTTCCAATCAGATACTTGGTGGCTCATCCCACTTAGTAAGTGGGTTATAACCCCAGTTATAAGTGGGTTAACCCCACTACTGGCGTATCATCGCCGTTGACAGCCCTAGGTCAACAACGAGTTGGGCCTGACGACGCAGGACGGATGGCCTTGGGGACGCTGTAGATGATGGTGAAATATAACTGTGGTTATATATATATATATATTATATTATATTATATAATATAATAAAATATTATATTATATACAATTATATAGTGGAACTGCACACCATAGATAGGCTCGGAATTGGCAAGATGAGACATTTCTTGCTGAAGGACTTTCACCCCCGACATGAGTTTTTTTTTGGCCAATCGTGAGAAAGTTGACAGCAGTATGACCAGATTACGAACCCGGTGCTGGGGATACCCCCAGGCCAAAAATGGTCTGTGACAATGGAAGTGTTTGGCAGCAGATGGTCTTGACATAGTGACATTCAATCTTCACGTACGTCTGTATTCGCATGCGCATGCAATGTGGGGCCGCCCGATTAACAATAGTTATAGTTATTTGCGTATCATGAACCATAGCCATTGAAGTTATTTGCATCAACTGAACGCTATCTAATTAGGGGGCCCCACATTGGTCATCTACACATTGGTCATCCACTCCAATCCGGCTTCAGGACGTACGGGCCATTTGCGATGTGAATGCCAGTAGCAAGAGGGGACGGCAAGGTGCGGGATTTTTGCATGTGTGGTGGAACTTGAACCATGGGTAGTTCGGTGGTCATCCCATTTTACAGCACTTAATACATATACAGTCATATACATGTGTATATATATATATCTATGTATATATATATACATATACATATACATATATATATATACAGTATATATATATATGTGCATATACATACTTATTCTCAACAGTATATTGTTGCTGTTGCTTGGCAGCAAATCATGGCCAACCTCACGACGCACAATTTTGCGTCGGTTGAGTGTATTGGATCCACTTTGCCACGCCATAGACTCGTTGGTTGAAGCTTTATATAAGAAAACATGGATACATATATATATATATATATTAATTTAAAGGTTCTAGAACTCCCATAACTTCCCTTTTTGATGATTTTTGATGAAGCCCCAATTTTTGCCAGTTAAGTCGTGCCGTTTTCTCAAGCTTTTTCTCAGGCGTGACAGGGCACAAAGGCATCGGTTGGAAGAGCTGCTTCCAGGTGGGCAGCATGTTGTCAGCATGTTGCAATAAACTTTCAATAGACATGATCATGATACCCTCTCGTAAACTAACATAGCTATTGAAAATGGCCATTTATAGTGAGTTTTCCCATTAAAAATGGTGATTTTCCATAGCTATGTTAGTTTACCAGAGGGTAATATAATGACATAATGCCATTTGGGATCATTATTAATCTAAACTTACACTAGCATTATCATTATCAATTTGTTTTTGAATAATGATAGATGGAAATCCAAATATCATCCATAAAGAAATCCATGATAATGGGGATATTTTTGCGCAAACCATTCAATTTTTTGACCCAACAATGGAACATCCATCATGGGCTGTGCCAAATGAATAGTAATGATTCCCTGATCATATTTAAACATATTTGATTCAATGGATTGGTTTAAGGGAAATTTTACAGGAAAACATAGATTTTCCCATTAAATGCGGGGCTTTCCTGTAAAATTTCCCTTAAACCGATCTATTGATTGATGGTTTGTAATGAGTATATTGGTATGATCAGGAATGATGAACCAATCATTATGTCACAACATGGGTGATCCTGATTAGTAAGGATCACATCATTATCAGATAACGATTCAAACTGATTACAGATTGAACAGTTGATTATTGATACTTGAGAACCAACAATGACTCATGAATAATTGACAAACAATCGTCATTCAATAGGAATCTGTCAAACAGATTCAAACGAGGGGACTATACTCAGAATCAACCGTTGTGACTTACCAACAATGGCTGTCATTGGTGATTGACCCATGTCTGGCTGTCTGTTTTTGGATATTACGGTATCGTTTTCCATGACACTTGGGATAACGATTCCAACAGACAACATTCTTCGGGGGGTTGACACCAAGCACTATGAAGTTTTAGGGCACCGTAGTGGGGTTTATAGTTCGCTAGAGGCTTGACGATCCCATGATGTCTTGTTTGTTCATGACATGCCATATCCTGCATACTAAGGAACTAAGGAACTAGGTGAATGATTCAAGATGTCAATTTCCATGTGACTGAAATGCTAGCATAGGATTTTACGATGAAAAGCCCCCAGAGATGTAGAGAACGAACCCCATTTATCGGAAAAAAAAACGTTCGCTGCATTTCGCCCACTTCATTCCATGCCTTGGCGTCGATGCCAGGTTTCAGATTGTCCCTACATGCTCTCTGGAGCCTTTACTTTCAAGTTCGATGTGATGCTTGGATTCAAAATGATTCAAGACAGGCCGATTCCCCTAACATGCAACACCCAGAAAGCATGATTTAGTAGGGAAATGACGGGGTGTAAAACATATTGCAGGGATGGATTATTAAAGTTTATCATAATCATAGATTAACAATTTGATATAAACCATATATAATATATACTACAATATATATATATGTATATTAACAACATCCACACACACACATATATATATACACATACATGTAATTTTAATGTTCACCTTGGGCCATGATGAGCCCGACAGCACCGTGACCTTTTGAACTGTCGCACTGTCGCCCTTAGGAAGTCCCTTGGAACCTTGGGCTACGTCACCCCTACCTGGGTTGGAGAAGAGGATGGTTGTGGGAGACCATGAGGAATGGTTACCCTCTGGTAATCTAACAGTTTGCTATGGAAAATGGACCATTTAGTTCGATGATTAAGCTATTAACTGGCAGATTTTCCAGTTCGCCACCTGTAACAGTTTGCCAGAGGGGATTTAACGTGGGGATTTGTATTAGGGATTCGTGAAACATAGTGGTCATTTAACGTTGGGATATGGAAACTTATTGGTAGGGGAATGGACGACCAGAAATCCAAGCTATTTTGGTTTTGAACTACAGGGTACTGGGGTTTTGACGCACAGCCACATAGCTGTGGAAAATGGCCCATTTATAGATGATTTTCCTGTATCTACTTATGGACCATCTTGATTTTTCATAGCTATGTTAAATTACCAAAGGGTATACCCCAGAATTGCAAGTTGATTTTTTCTTGTGGCTATCCATATTAGAATTATCAGGGGAACACGCTTGAATTATGTAGGATACAACCGATAAACCTTGGGGGTATAACTTAAGGAACCCCAGCCATCATGGGGATGAAATCGGACATTATGGGATATATATATACCCTCTGGTAAACTAACATAACTATGGAAAATCACCATGTTTAATGGGATATATATATAACTGATATAACCTAGAATATGAGATGGGTTTCTCCAGAAATGGTATTTTTTTTTCTTCAATGGCAATGTTTTCATCGCGGATTTTTCAATGGCGCTGACATCCGTTGGACACATCCGTTGGACACTTTGGGTGATGGGGATGACCTTGATGGAGATGTTTAGCGAACTGGAACATGGCCCATAGAAATCGTTGATTTACCCTCTGGTTAACATACAAAAAGCTATTGAAAATGGTGATTTATAGTGGATTTACCCATTAAAAATGGTGATTTTCCATAGTTACGTTAAATTACCAGAGGGTACCTGTGAAACATGGTGATTTTCCACTTCGCAAAGTGTAAGAGTTTACCAGAGGCTACTTAAAATTTCACAGATGGTGAACGTGATTTTCAAGTACCCTCCTATAAATCCCATTAAATCTAAATCACCATTAAATCCCAATAAATTCCATTTTGTGCTGATTTTACCCGTTGTGTTTTTTACATGTAGAAATTCTGAGCCCCGGTGTCAGCATCAAGGGATGCGCTTGTCTTTTGGTTGGGATCGTCGGGTCGAATGATGGTGTTCACGCGCCAAGAACACGAGGGTTTCTGAAACCTGGGGACACTGTCTCACATTCGTTTCCATATGAAAAGTCATAGATTGCATAATTGGGGTCCCACGATTTTCAGAGAAACCATGGAAACCATTCACAAAAGTTGCTTGAAACCGCCATTCCGCATGGTTTTTTTTGAGCCAAACATCCACCACGTGGCGATCGAAAACCGCCAGGAGCTCCATTCCTTGCCACAGCTGGTCTGGGAGGCCTACTATGCAGGCACCGTGCCCAAGGGATCGCGTGGCGAAACACGGCGGATGGCATCGATGTTTTTAAAAGCGGGGTTGTGCACTGGGATTCAGATGCATCAATGCACAATACGTGTATATATAATATATAAATACAGATGATTACGTAATAATAAAGTTATATATATATATACATATATATATATACATATATATACAATGAATATTTGGATCTGATGCGGTAAATCCAAGAGTTAAACCGTCTCCAAGTGGGGTGGCTTGTCGCCACAATTTCGATTGGTTACTGGGATGGCTGGAGCGGCATCAGGTGGCATTGGGCTTGCTACACTCATAGAACTGGATGATGGGAAAATTTTAACCGGAAACCCCTATATTTGATGGTAAAAACCATGGTTTCCTGTAGATTTCCAGCCAATCCATTGAAACACTATGTGGGATAGCTTTGGAGCATTTGTTGAAAGACGAGACTGGATTATGATAGACCCCAGAACTGGAGTCCAGAGTCTATTGAAAGATGTGTACACTGTTTGGTACTTTGAACAATGGTAACGACGGAACTCCGCATATTCCTTGGCGGTGTATCATCTGCAGTCCGATTTTCCATTTCCAGTTTGATGACCAGAGCGGAAAAAGAAGTCAAAGGGCAATTTTGCAATTACCCTCAATCAAACATGGCAACGGGAAAATCCACTATAAATGGAGCTTTTAATGGGGAAAATCCACTATAAATGGAGCTTTTAATGGGGAAAATCCACTATAAATCGAGCTTTTAATGGGGAAAATCCTCGATAAATGGGGGATTTTCCAGCCACGTTTGGCAGGTTACACCGTGACGTACCTACCCTTGAGGCGCAACGGCTGTGACGGCTGTGAAAACTCGTAAATCCAAAGAGAAAAATAGAAAAAAACTGTAGTTATTCTATGGTCAACTATGAGACACATGGTAAAAAAATATGTATAATATACTGTATATATATATATACATACATATTCGAGACCATAGAATGATATGGGGGTGCAACTAGCATTAGGGGGACTCCTGCCGTCCTGCCAGGACCTGGTATTGGTTAATGAAGGGAGTTTCCATCAGAATGATGCGTATAGATTTAAACTATCAACCTTTTTTTTAGATGAAGGTGGGGATACATGTTTTAGATCATGTAACTGTATATAGTCCTTTTCCCGCCAAAATCGAAATACTGCCAATCTAAGCTCCAGTTTACAATCGCATTTGGTTGGTTTTTTGGGCCCCTAGGGGTCAAACCTCTTGTTGGAGTTTAGAAAAAAAAACATGGTTAGAAAAGGATGGGATCTATACGAAAGGACTGATGATATCACCAAGAAATGATAAAATGATAGGGATAAGAATCATTGGGAATATCAAGAAAGGATATCAAGAATAACTGGGGATGTGACGTATCTGTTCAATGCGATAGACCCTAGAATTATCGCACATCCAGGTATACAGTACATACTGTATATAAATAAGTATAAATAGTTGTGATGGTGAAGATGTTCAATCTCATGAATCCATCGACATATTTCGATCATAATTTTGTGGGTCAATTTAGCTGGATGGGATGACCAAAGGGGACCTGGTTGGTGGTGACTGGAACATTGGTTTAGTATAGGATAATGATGGTTAATGATGGTTAATGATGGTTAATGATGGTTAGTGATGGTTTGTAATCACTGGTTGGTGGTTTGGAACATGAATGGATTATGTCTTTCCATTCAGTTGGGAATGGAATAATCATCCCAACTGACTTTCACTCCATCATTTTTCAGAGGGGTAGGGCGAAAAACCACCAACCAGAATATTATTAACAATCATTAACCATATAATAACTATAACCATATATTACCCATTATTAACAGTATATGCAACCAGTAAAACTGTGGCTACCACCAACCAGGGACGGTCCTCCCCTGGGACGAACGAGGCAGGGCACCGAAGATTCCGTGGAGTTGGCAATGGCACACCTAGAGGACTGGGATGCAGGTCCTCCCCTCGGGGAAAAAAGCTGGGAGAAAAAACTGGAGAAACAACTGTTGAGACTGTCACTAAAAGCTACAAGCCTCTGTAAAAAACCGGTGTGCAAGAAGATTTCGAGACTTAAGAAAGTGATAGGATTTTGCGGAACTTGAGCCATCCAAGTCTCTGGTGGTAAACCAATCCCGGTGACCCTCGCTACCCTCCGGTGTCATCAAACATGGCTGGCTTGATTTTTCCATCTAGAAGCCTCCATTTTGATCAGAAATTTACCAGCCATGATTGCCAGAGGGTACGTCCCTTGAATCTTCCCATTACATCATCATTTTGGTTGGATAGATCACCATTCAACCACCATAAATCAATATAAATCATATAAATCTGAACCACATCTCACTCAATGGATTGGCTTTCTTGGGAAAATCTCCAGGAAACCATCGATTTCCCCATGAAGATCATGTTTTTTTTCCGGTTCAACTTGTCCCTTTTTATCCAATCCAGGGAACCGCTGGATGATTTCCCAAGACCCAGGAGCACTTGCCTTGTCTCCTCTTCCTTCGCCGCTTGAAATCCCTGGAACTCTGTGGCGGCGAGACGGTGCGACTGGCTGTGGAGGACATGTGCTGCTAGTGGAATCTCAGTAGAAACACGTGAGACACTTGGGAACTTGGTAATTTACTTGCAGAACTTGGAGTTACAAGGGGGTACAAGTGAACATTAGACCGAAATGGACAGATGGATGGGAGTTTTTGCACGGAATCATGGATTTGGGCCTTTATTTCATGGATTTGAAGCAAGTACTTCAAGCTATCCATGGAAATTCACCCAAGATCCTGAAGTCATGGTGAAGTGCCCATTTTTCCATAGCTTTTCCGGTTTTCCGTAGGTGTTCCTATTGCCAGGGCATCTCCGAAGTCTCCAGGACCAGGGCTCTGACTGCGTAGCAGTGCACCGCAGCACAGGTGAGTTCATGGGTCAAATTTCACCCAAATTTGCAGGGATTCACCAGTGAGAATTGATGATTTCTATGGGATTTAACATGATTTAACCAAGAAAAATGATGCTTTCTATGGTATTTCTATGGTATTTCTATGGGATTTCTCCTTAGATGGCTTGCAAGCATGACGCATCTTTGGTGGTATGACCCCGCAAATGGCCATCAAATCACACGGAACAGGAGCTTCGAGTCAGCAACGGAAAACAAATTCGAGCACTCGGATTTCAGGGAAAGCAATATTGGGAGTTCACCAACAACGATGCGGGTGTAAACCACAGTTCATTTGCCATATTTTGGGTGTAAAGCCTCCATGTTTGTACAACACCACTTCACAAAATCTGGAACATGAGGGTGTGAACAAGAATGAAAAGGAGACGGTTGTAGCAGCAGAAATGGTGCCATCCGATGAGCGAAACGATGCTTCGTGGATAAGCAAATGCACCTGAGATATCCTGAGATGCCACCTGCCTGGTGATATCAATGATTCAACGGATTGGTTTCCAATTTTGTTGGATTTTCCGATTTTCCTGTTTTCCCTGAAGCCAACCCAAAAAAAATGATGTGCGGCTTTTTTCGCTCGAATGGCTCGGTGGCTTGCTGTCAGGCGTTCCTTCTGCTGTTCCTTCTGCCGTCAACGCGGAGGCCGCGGAGGCGCAATCCACGTGGCAGTTCTTGGTGCACCGGCACAGCAGCTTGGCATCGGGGACGTCGGGGAGCCATCCTCCAAGGAGATGCCGGGAATGGCTACGGATGGGGATGATACCCGGCCTGGTAAACATACAAAAAGCTATTGAAAATGGTCATTTACAGTGGATTTTCCTATTGAAAATGGTGATTTTCCATAGCTATGTTAAATTACCAGAGGGTAGATGAGAGCCTACTCAGTACTTGATTCGAAAAATGTGTAGACGATGTTGAAATTTGAAGCAAAAACTGACGGAATGACGTCCCATGACTTTGACGGAATTCTATCCACCCCAATGATTCTCTAAGCCAAATGGTGTCTGGATATCATGAGTCTTCGGGTCTTTGGGCACCCCCAATATCGGTGAACCCCCCAATGATGGTGAACAAAGCCTGAATAGTTTGTTCCCCTGCCAGGTGAGGGTCTCTAGATTTACTGATTGGTGGTTTGGAACATGGCTTTTATTTTCCATTTCATATATATGGGATGTCATCCTTGCCATTGACGAACTCCATTATTTTTCAAGATAGTTTTTTAACCACCAACCAGTTTAACAAAGGCGCAACTCCTCTTCTTCTTCCTTCTCCTTCTACCTCTTCTTCTTCCTCTTTGGCCTTCTCTCTTCGTCTTGTCTTCCTCCTCCTTCGCCTCCTCCTCGCTTGCTGCACTTGCTGCACGCGCTGCCATATCGCCAGCTCAGGATAATCTGGGGCACACCTGGACCCGAACACCATACCGTCAGCTCCGGATGTTGTGGGGCGCGCGTGGGCCCGAAAACATGTCAGAGAGAATGCCAGACAGAATGCCAGATAGAATGGCCAGATAGAATGCCAGAATGAATGCCTGAAAAGATGCCAGCTAGAATGCTAGATAGAATCTCAGAATAGATGCCAGATAGAATGCCTGAAAAGATGCCAGATAGAATGCCAGATAGAATCTCAGAATAGACTCCAGATAGAATGCCAGAAAGAATGCATGAAGAGATGCCACGTAGAATGTCAGAATAGATGCCAGATAGAATGTCAGCCTATATGCCAGAATGTATGTCAGAATAGATGCCAGATTGAATATCAGATAGAATGTCAGATAGAATGCCAGAATACGTATATATATATATATTCCACATATACTTCCAGATGGTATGTCAGAAACTATGTCAGAATAGTGTGTCAGGGTGGGGATCACTCGACGAAAGCCAGAGCCCGCAGAGTCCGCAATGCTGCAGGCACTCGCCCACATTTGTTGGTTATATCCCAATTTTTGACGATAAATATCATAATATCCCTAGGATGGATCGATTCTGCTTGCAAAATCTCTCAGACTATTCTTCTTTGTGGATTTGCTGAAGACGAGTGTGTATATTTTACCATTGATTAATCCGCCATAGTGACGATATAAGTTCATCATCTAACTTGAATATGTTAACCCACTATATAAGAAAAGAATAGAACAGAACTAACTTGAATATGATTTACTTTGGCTGTAGAAATTTGAAGGTTTGTGGGACTCCCAAGGAGTACTCTTGGAGGAAAAGGAGTTGATTCTCACCCTGGCCTTTCCAGATGCACCTGGGAGCGATGTTTCGTCCTGGTTTGTAGGAGACTTTCGACTGGTTTGTTTGAGAAGAAATTGGTTGCGGTTATACCCTCTGGTAATTTAACGTAACTATGGAAAATCACCATATTTAATGGGAAAAACCACTATAAATGGTCATTTTCAATAGCTATGTTAATTTACCAGAGGGTATACCCCCAAAGTGCAACTTTACTGGGAAAAAACGATGATCAAGCATTGGAGTTGAGATAGACAGATAGCCCCCACTTTTGGGCAGACCCGTCTGAACACCTTTTCAGTGTGTAAAAACCCATTGGTGATAGCACCAACACTTGGGGCTTAGACAGTGGTTTTACCCCCCAAAAAAAGGTGATGCTTTACAAGGAACCCTTGGTGCTTTCAACTTCAACCGTCCTTTGGGGAACCTTAGGGCATATGCCCTAACATATTTTTTTGTACGAAAGAGGAGTTGTCATGAGGATTCAACTAACTTCCAATTTCGGTGATCTGCCAATAGTAGGAACATCGTGGTGCTTGGTCGAATCCCCATTTCTGGACATTCTCGATGGCGGGGGGTATCCAGTATATATATATATACATGTATACATATTTATCATGTCTACATGTACATATATATATATATATGTACACAAGATGTATGCATATCCATGTATATATGCATATATATACTGTATATACATCAAAACATACATGTTTTGGCGAGTATTGATAGATGTGACTGGGTGAAGTAACCATGGCATCCAAAATCCGTACACCGGCTGACGGTGCAACGGGTTCACCAGAACAACGGGACCACAACGGGGTGATGTGCTGATTCAATCGTTGTCATACGTTGTCATCACCATCATCATCACCGTATCTTTATTTAAATGTCTATATACATATGTACACACACACACACGCATATATATATATACATATGTATATATGTTTATGTATATATATATAATATACATATTGCACAAACAGCCCTTAGTGCATCTCCAAGATTCCATCCGTAGCCCTGAAGCCGAGGGGCCGACAGCATCAAAGCTGCCTCCGCAGGCGAGTCCCGGCGGTGGTCACGCCTGGCACAATGGGAAACCCCAATGGAGTGGTACCCTCTGGTAATTTAACATAGCTATGGAAAATCACCATGATTAATGGGAAAATCCACCATAAATGGTCATTTTCAATAGCTATGTTAAATTAGCAGAGAGTAAATAGTAAACTTACTTAGTAACAGAATCTTATCACTTTGTACCATTTAAAATTGGAATAGTCAATGAATGTTATCACTTTCTATAAAAGGGTCTAGAGGCGTAAAGGGCCAACAAAAGTTGAGATAGACACATTTCATTATTTCATTACTTGAAATTGAGAAAACTTGTGCCCACAGAGGTCAGACGTATCCATCATTATTTTATATTATATAATTATATATATATATATATCGTAAAATTGACCCATGTAAAAACCTGAATATTCCATCTGTAACTGGCTTATAATTCATCGGATGATCCAGCGCAGCTGGCGCAGCTGGAGGCCTTGTACTGTCTTCTGCCTGTGAGGAAGTTGCTTGGTGCAGTCAGTGCAGTCGTTGGAGCGAACGTGGACCAAAACCACCCATCTGCAGCCGATCGTTTGCCAATCATTTTTTATACAGCAGTGAATTTTGGTTGCATTCTCGATCAAATATCACTGATTCCCACAATATGCGCACGGATCGGTTTTGCCTTTCTACGAAACCAGGTTGGGTTCTGTATGTTATTCTTACTCACAGATACCCAACAACATAACTGTCAATGGCTGCAGTTGGAGTTTTCACTCATCAATGGCATTTTTTCTAATTACAGAAAATGGGGTTGCTGTGCCATTTTTTTGGCCTCGGAATTGCGAGTCTTAAACGGAAGAGCAGGCCCATACGGCCAGTGGTAGCCAGTTACAGTAGATCCACTTACATCCCAGTGTGCAAGTGAGGTTGTAATCCCAGGATTAATATTACCAAGTCGAGAAAAAATTGAGAGTAATGAAACATATAACTTTTTTTGGATGTTGGACAATCCCATGATGATCACCTGTTTTACACCAGGACATCATCATTGAATCCCATATAATACCATATAACCATCCATTATCCCAACATCAATTGATCGAGATCATATAACCATTATAATCCCATATAACCATCCATTATCCCAACTATCCATTACTATCCATTACTATCCATTGCATAGAGATTTTTGTCATGAATGAGATGAATTACTATCCATTACTATCCATTACTATCCATGACTATCCATCATATCCATGATTATCTATTACTATCCATTACTATCATAGTCATCTCTGGGAGGCCCTTTTTGTCATCGACTCGACTCGACTCATCCCTCAGGTTGGGCTTCTGCTTTTGTCTGGACGGCCCCTTTGAACTCATCGCCAGCCGTGGGGACATCCACGAAGGAAGCCGCCGGAATCAGGCGCTTGGAAGCGCCTACCTTCAAGATTTCATGGTTATTGCACTTCAGCCAGATATACTTTGATATGTATATATATATATACACACATATATATATATATACACACATATATATATATACACATATATATATATATCTTTATATGCATACATATCACTGGTGAGATATCATTATGATTTATCGCTTCTAATCAATTACATATTGCGATGTCGACATGTGAACCGCGTACATCATGTGTTGTATTTCACCACATCCGCTTCGGTGTGGGAAGCATCACACTGAGCATCGACTTGTCGGCGAAAAACCAAACGATCCTATGGTTTGTATCCCTATGATCGGTTTATATCCCAAAATTTCCATCACTAAAAATGCCTGCCTATTTTTCAGAAACCCAACGAAAAAATTTCCAGCGAAAAATTCTTGGTTTTCCGACATCAGTCCCATGAAATCCGTAAATCCCACGCAGCAAATCTCCGAGCGAGGCGCTCTGCGAGGAGTTGCCTGCTGCATTTGCAGGTGCCTTAGAGAGGTGCCGCCGCTGGGGAATTCACAACTAAGTTGGTTAAACCCACGATTCAATGGTGTTTTCATGAGATTTCAATGGGATTCAATTCAATGGTTTTTTTTTATCGCCAAGTTGGTGAACATGACTCGAGTTTTTGGGATATGATAAAACTGTAGTATTCATTGGGTGAAACTAAACATACTAAACGTTAGTCCAACAGAATGTTTGGGGGCCCCACCTTGTATGTGTTTTTTCAGTAAATCTGGATGAATTTGATCATGACCTCACGTGGTCACGTCACTGGAATGATGGTGAAGGTAAGGGGGATCATTTTCAAGTGGCTGCAAGTTTCAGCTATGTTCAGGTTAGTGAATTATATATATATACGTATGTATATATACAATACATATTATGATTCAGCAATTCAGCCGGATCAATGGTCAAAATCATTGAACTATGGAGTTTTTTTTTTCCACCAAGCACACTTGTGGTGAAGCATCTGGGAATGAGTTATGATCGGAGATCATCCAGAAATGTCGAGTTGGTTCATGGTAGATATCTGGAGCTGGTTCGGAATCAACATAAAACTAGGGGGCTCTTCCTGGTAATATTGGATTACACCAAGTGGCTGCAAGTTTCAAGTTTCAAAACATCGACACTAGTGAAGATTACCAAACACTAGTGAAGATTACCAACAAACACAGGGAGACACTTGTGCATTTTGATGGTAAAGTCAGTTTTGTTAGTTCAACCCTGGTTTTGACAACAGCGCCGTTTTATTGGTGGCGTCCACGTATTGCTTGGTTGAAAGCACACTTTCATGGGTAAATCCTGATTTTTGCTGCTAAAACCACCATCTTTGAAGTTTTAAATGCCCCGTCATTTCGTGGCTTCGTCGAAGACGCAGTTCCATTAATTTTTGCGGGTTGTACTTCACCATAGTTGTGGGGGGCCCATATCCCAACTTATGGAGGTTAGAATCCCATAGTTGTACTCATTAATACCCTCCAGTATTCACACAGAGCAAAGGACAAATTACCCATTTATGGCTAATGTTCCAAGAGAATTAAACCTGAATTGACTTCGGGAATTTTCTCAGCTAGAAACCTCCATTAGAAGTGGCATTGTCCATTAAAACCTGCATTGATAGGGGATTTCCAGTGGTAACACAAATCCATTGATTGTGATTTTCCCGCTTTGTTAAAAAACATATGTATCATCAGATTTGGAAAATTCCCATATTTTACAATGATTTATTGGTTGATTTTCCCAACACCGTTTAGGGTGCCAACCCCCCTTCCCCTTCCAACCCCCTGGCCAAGGCATCGATCCTTAGCTCCCCGCGCTCTGGAGCTGCTGGGACCTCCACCCCCGGAGCCCTTCTGGCAGCGGGTGCATAGCAGTTCCTTAGACCTGAGATGTGGCCCCCCCCCAGTGATGTTTGTTGGTTTATAAGCCCCAGTAACTAGTTCGTTATGAATACCATAAACCATAGTTATTGGACTTTTAAACCAAGCTAGCTATCTTGGGGGCCTCACAGTGTAGGTGATATATCGAACTAGTTCATGGGGTTTATAAACGAATTTATAACTGGGGAAACCATCACCTTGCAGGATGGGCCCCCCAGCGTTCAGTTTGCCTTAGATGGCCATGCTGAATTCTATGGCTTATGGTAGAATTAACTATAATTCATGGGCTTTATAAACCGACATTCACATAACTGGGGGGCACCACCCTATGGGGGTTAGGAGAATCCGATCATAGATGCAATATCACCAAGCTCACAAGAGCATGTGTCCAAATTATCCACCCCCAGAAATAGTTATCTTAGACCTAAAAATAAGAATGAAGTGACTGGCATATGTATTTTTCCTAGATAGGTATGTTCTCAGATGGAGAGACATTCTTTAAAACCACAACCAACGACCATTCCTCGGGCTAGAATGGGCTATCCCGCTGGATTTCGGCACGAGCCCAACATGACAGTTGACTGCTAAAGTCGTGCCGAAAATTTGGACATCATCGTAACTAGCTGGGGAGCACTTGATTTGAAAAGTCGTGCCTTTTGAGTAAAACGCATAGGAATTGCAATGTTTTATTGGATTTGGTCTGTATCCAATGGTTTAGGGGGTAGACATTTGAGAAACCCATTGGATATTGATACTTAAGTTGGTTGGTATGGATAATGGATACTAAGTATGGGCTATACTTGGTATATAATGTCACCCCCAAAACCATTGGTGACTACCCAAGTTGGTAAACATGATCCCAACCTTAATCCAATCATCATCGATTTATCATCCATTTTCCAATGGTTTAGGGGGTAGACATTTGTGAAACATCCACTTAGACGGGCCATGGAGATAGTTAACTAGTTAGTACATGGATTATTTCATTGGGATATCGGGGGTTATATCCCCAGTTACTAACCATTTCTCTAATCCTATGGCCTATCTAAGCATACTTCGTACTTCATTGTACTTATCCCGTGTTGCTTCGCCAAAAAAAGGGTGAAAATTCCCAACGGGTACCCGTGGGTGAGCAGTGTTCAAAACCTCAGTGGGTTGAGAAGTACCCTCTGGTAATGACTAAGAGTTTGCTATTGAAAATGATCACTTAGTTCGTTGATTTACCCAGCTATAAAATGGTGATTTTCCAGTTCGCAAACTGTTGGTTTACCAGGCCGGGTATAGGATGTATATATAGGGGATTATACTCACCAATATATTGGGCATCCAATCCATGAGGGGAATTCCTATCAACTCAGGTCCTAGAGGGACGACATAGGGTTTTGGACACTTCTGACCTCATTTCTTCACATTTATTCCTTGCAAACGAAAGATGATTTACCATTGAATGAGCCCAAGATGAAATGAAAGGTTACACATACTTCATATGAAGAACACTAAAATGACCCAGACAGTTTTCTCAGTTTTCTCAGTTTTCTATTGAATCTCCCTTGAATCTTTGAATCTGTTCATTTTTTGGGTCGAAAACTGACTTCGCCAGGCGTGTTAGATCAACTTCAGGGGACTGCGTGCGTTCCGCTGGAGGCCCATTTATCAGAAGTCAAGTCTAACGGCCCACGGAAACACCACAGACGATCTATGGTTTCACAAGAAAAAGCCAGGTCTATTCTCCAGTAAACGAACCCATAGATCAGTGGTTTTGTAGAAAATTGGGAAAACGAGGATTGTAGATCATCAAATGATCAATGGAATCTATGGTTTCTTTCAGTAAACGAACTTGTTTCAGTTGGGAGGATTTGCAGATCATGAAAGGCTTAGCTTCAGCCCCCCTTAGAGATTGCACTTTTCTGCCATGGGAATATTGCCTAGAAATCATCAGCTGATTGGGAAAGCTTTTTAATCGAATGATTGGACCTTGGACGGATGGAGGATGGACTGATGCACAACCCGCCCTGAACCAACGGATCGAGCGATGGTAGGAGGGTGGTTTGGAAGAACCGGAACGCTGCTTGCTACGGCCCGCAGGTATCTTGGCGACCGGTTTTTCTTTGGGATGTCCCCTGGCCACCGGTCAATGCTTTGGCATTTTACCCTCCAGCAAATTAATCGCTGTAGCTTTTGGAGAATTTCAGACCCCATGTTGTTTGGATCAGTCACTATGGGTCATTCTATTGGGTATTTCCTTTTGGGATTGTCTACGATCCAAGAAATGACAAGTCCATCTGGTTCCCACCGCCTCAATTGTTGAACAATTTCCAAGTCTTGCTCATACAATCCTGAATTCTAGCTGGCTGACCATGACCCCCATTTCTGCCATAGACATTCACATGCTGTTTCCATTTGTTTTTCGTTTTTCCCACAATTGCCAAGACATCATCAACTTGTCATTTTGCTCCACATCAAACTTGACCAACCCATGATTATCACAGAGATTTCTTTCAAATCCTCAACCAGCAAGCCGGAAAAAACCCATCAACTTTACCATGCTCCGGGCACCGGGCCGCAATTTTTTTGAGGTTTGGCAGGAGACGCGTCGCGCTTGATCCCCTCCTCCCTGTTGTGGTGCGCCTGTGGCAAGCGCTGGGCGGCAGCCAGCAACATGGGCGCCCTCGAGGTGGGGAGCTCGGGGGATCTTGAAGAGTGGGTAAGATATGGTAAGATGATTTTTCTGGGAGATAATCATAGATCATCGCGACAAACGCCCCACCATCCCCACCTAGATTTGGGGATTTTCATGGGTTTTTCTAGATGTGTTTGCTGATGATTTTGGGTGCTTGCCTCTTCTCGCAAGCCAGGAAGCTCTAGGTGCCGCTGGGTGAATCGCCAAAAATGCAAAGCAAAGATGAGCCAAGCATCCAACTTGGCTTTTGACTGGTGAATGGTTGGAGAACCAGTTGCTAAGTCTAGGATTTGTCAGATTTTCCAGGAAATGGGGATGGCAATTTGGCAATCACCAAGAAATCCGGGTCCGAAAAAGCGAGCTGGGCCAATTTCGAGCGGTTTGGATAGAATCAAAGCTACCTGTTCCGACATATGGGTTTGTTCACAGACAAGGAAGCCCCAAAATTCCAGTACAATTTCACTATGATTTTGATCATAATGGTATAGCACTGGTATACCAATGGTAAGAAAATTATCTACACTAGCATACTCAATTGTTATACTATCTATTTTGTTGATAGGATCCAGAGGGAATATGTGAACAAAGCCGTGCACCCGGGGCCACTTATGTGAAGTCTCTAATCCCATCCCTATTTCAGGATGTTTTACCATGTCCCTTGATTTTGGATATCCCCCAATTATGCCCATTTTCCAATATCCAACATTTGGGTTGGTTATACATCCAGAATATCTTCTGAGTGGTATTAGTTGGGGATGATCATATCGTCAGTATTGGCCATCATTCATCAACTAGCATTATTATCATTCTTATTACACACATCAACTACTGGTAATTATCATTATCAATCATGATTCGTGTCCAACCAGTCACTATTAGTCACTATTGGTCTGTCACTAAATTAATCACTATTATTATATATATATATAATTATATTAATCAGTATGAGTCACTATTACTCATTATTAATAGATAATTGGATAATAACCATTATTAACAATTATTAACTATTATGAACTATGGTTAACTCTTATTAATATCACTATTTCTGAACTACTATGAAAATTAATAATGATAGTTAACAACTATTATATTAACTATTAGCTAATATTGATTGGTACTATGAACTATTGTTAACTATCACTATTATTAACTACCATTAGCTATCATAAATCAGCCTGAAACTTGTGGGATCATCACCAGATCACTTCGGAAATCATCCCATTTCTGATTTCCTGTAGGAAGTGGACCGTTCGGTGATTATCAGTTACTATGGGATGATCAATAGTTAATATACTGGGAAGATCACTATTATTGATCATAGTATACACTATTTTGAAGTAGATCCCACAATAATATAATAGTGATAATACATAATAGTATTATGGGATGGGATGATCACTCTTATTGATCACTATTATTAATATGATGATTATTAATTGATCACTATTATGGATGATGATGATTATTAATCATAGTTTTTCACTAATCATTGGAAGTCTCATAGAATTGGATGATGGGAAATTTACACCGGAAAACCCGATCAATTTGCTGGTAAAAACCCATGGGTTTCCGGTTAAGATTATCCCTTAAACCAACCCATTGGAAGTCGCAGGAAATGACGTTTGAGCACGTTGTCCAAGTGCTGCGGCACCGCGATGACGAGTGGCCGCACGGTCTTTGTGCTTCGTGGCGATCTAAGGCGAAGAGCTGCCTGGTATGGTAGCCTCTGGTAAACTAAGATAACAATGGAACATCACCATTTTTAATAGGTAAATCAACTATAAATCACCATTTTCAATAGTTTTTTTGTATGTTCACCAGAGGGTAACTTCTATTGATGAGGGTCGCTTAATCAACTAACTATAAATCACCATGTTCAAGTTGAATATAATGAGTTTACCGGAGGGTAATAAAAATGAAAGGGAATACGAATATAATGTGGGTAAACCAATGTCATAAACCAGCCATGACTGGGAATTTTTAAACATAGCCTATAAAAATGGTGATGACTGGGGGATGGTGCAAATGACATGGTTTGACCCACATTATTGGGTTTACCACATGAACCATGGTTAATCAGGTGCTAACTCAGTATATCATTTGGGTCATTTCAGAGTTTGCTACAGACAATGGTGTCCATTTTGATATGATCGTCGTTTTCCGTAGCTATGTTAAATGACCAGAGGCTAGCTATCCCAAATTTCCGGAACTGTTCAGATTGGTGAATCAGTACTGGACATCAGATTGGGGATTTTTCAGCACAGATGGGGAGGATCTGAGATGAGTTTTGACGAAAGTCTGATGAACAAACTTTGGACACTTTCTGGTTGGTGGTTTGGAACATGAATTTTATTTTTCCCATCATATTGGGAACGTCATAATCCCATTTGACGAACTCCATCATTTTTCAGAGGGGTAGGGCTCAAAACCACCAACCAGCTTTGGTTTTTTTTGGACCCAAAGTCCTGTTCACATTTCATGGGCATTCCGGGGTCCCCTTGGGATCCCTTGGGGGTGTCAGATTTGAGGATGGTGGGGTGGGGAACCCCAGTTGGTGAGTTTAACGCCAGTCCCACAGCTTCGTCAAAATATCTACCGAGCTGCTCCATGGGCATATGGGGACCAACATCAAAAAAACAACCCAGAAAATCACCCAGTTTTGTAGCTTTTGATATACAAGAAAACCATGCTTCGCTACCCAAGGGGTTAAAAAAAACTACATCCATGAAGCATCGAATTCAGCCACTTGGATTCTTGGATCCAGGACGTTGCCGCGAAACATTTCCGGTGCCTCTTCGCGTACCTGGGCGAGGTGCTGGAGACCGCCGATGTGGCCGCGGAGGCCGGAAACCGCGTTTTTTCCAGCATTTTTGGGGATTTTCCATGGGATTTTTAGGTGGTTGGTGGTGACTGGAACCATGGAATTTGGATTGACTTTCCAGAAAGAGTTGGGAATGGAATGGAATAATCATCCCAACTGACGAAGTCATATTGTTCAGAGGGGTGGCTCAACCACCAACCAGTATAAATGGAAGTTTAAATGGAGGTTTTAAACAGGGAAAATCATCTATAAACCGGGATTGTTCAGCAAACCATGTTCAATGGGGATTTTTGATAGGCGTGGGATTTCACCAAGAATTTGAGAACTTGGATTTTTTCGCAGTGAAGGAAGAATGGAGGTATAAACCAACAACGGTGATACAACAAGGTTTTCTTCATCGGATTTAATGGGATTTTATGTAAGATGACTCAGATGACAACCAACTATATAGAATCAAAAGCTGGATTCGATCAACCCATTAATTTTGGGATGCTCATCAACCCTTTTTATGACAGGGTCACATGGGGGTATAGGATCCGTTTGAGCAGTAGCTGCAAAACCCCTGTTGATGACTAGTTCGGGGACTACCATAATAGATACTCATAATCCACTTTGGGAATCCCCATTTACCGACCAGTATACTGCAATGGAATTGCAGAAGGTTATCATTTCATAATGATGAGATGATTCTGAGATGATGATGATATCCCGTTGCACTCCCTGAAACACAAAGTGAAGCAGCCAAGGCAATCTTCATCTGCAAGTTTGGTAAGGGATGGCTGGCCAGATAGGGGAATACGACAGATATTGACAGATATTGACAGATATTGACAGATATTGACAGATGTACATTAATATGTGCCATGGTCAAAAGCATAGGACTATGGAGCATAAACATGTTTGTTTTAAAAACAATTTTTCATTGGCCCTAACTTTTCAAGGGTTTCGGTTCTTCTAGTAAAGCAATGCAGGTTTCCTTCCCTCCAATCAGAGGCATTTGGTGGGCACTTGATTTTAGAAATTTGTCAGAATCAATAGTCTTGGGCTCAGACCATGCTCATGTGACTTTGGCTCGAGATTTTCTACAGAACAACAAGATGTGTGAGATAAAGTGTCGCTTTTGATTGTTGCTTTGATGCTGCAAGTCAACGTAGCTTTGCCGAGTGGAAAGCGGAACAGTTTGTCCATCTTAGAGTCCTCCAAAGTTGGGGACTTGAAGCGTTTGGCCCAGGAGTCTTTTGAACAAGGCTTCCTGAGGCTTGTCACTGCAGAGGGGCACATCCTGGCTGATCCGAACCAGTTCCTCCAAGCGGCAGGGCTGAAGGAGGGAGATCACCTGACAGCCATTGTGCAACAAGCAAAGATGGCGGCAACAGACGGAGCTTTTGCTATCTGGTGCCATGGAGGTGATAGGATCGTGACATGGGGCAGGACACGTTCTGGTGGCGATAGCTTTGCCGTGCAAGATCAGCTCAGGAATGTGCAGCAGGTTCAGGCCACGCGTACTGCATTTGCTGCGATCCTGGCAGATGGATCCGTCGTTACTTGGGGGAGACCAGAAGATGGTGGTGACAGCTCTGCCGTGCAAGATCAGCTCAGGAATGTGCAGCAGGTTCACGCCACAAATCGAGCATTTGCTGCAATCTTGGCAGATGGATCTGTCCTTACTTGGGGCGGCCCACATGATGGTGGCGATAGCTCTGCCGTGCAAGATCAGCTCGGGAATGTGCAGCAGGTTCATGCCACATCTTGCGCATTTGCTGCAATCTTGGCAGATGGATCTGTCCTTACTTGGGGCGGCCCACATGATGGTGGCGATAGCTCTGCCGTGCAAGATCAGCTCAGGAATGTGCAGCAGGTTCACGCCGCATGTCTAGCATTTGCTGCTATCTTGGCAGATGGATCTGTTGTTACTTGGGGCCATCCAGATGGTGGTGGCGATAGCTCTGCCGTGCAAGATCAGCTCAGGAATGTGCAGCAGGTTCACGCCACAGATCGAGCATTTGCTGCAATCTTGGCAGATGGATCTGTCGTTACTTGGGGCCATCCAGATGGTGGTGGTGATAGCGTTGCCGTGCAAAATCAGCTCAGGAACGTGCAGCAGGTTCACGCCGCATGTCTAGCATTTGCTGCTATCTTGGCAGATGGATCTGTCGTTACTTGGGGCCATCCAGATATTGGTGGCGATAGCTCTGCCGTGCAAGATCAGCTCAGGAATGTGCAGCAGGTTCACGCCACAGATCGAGCATTTGCTGCAATCTTGGCAGATGGATCTGTCGTTACTTGGGGCCATCCAGATACTGGTGGCGATAGCTCTGCCGTGCAAGATCAGCTCAGGAATGTGCAGCAGGTTCACGCCACAGATCGAGCATTTGCTGCAATCTTGGCAGATGGATCTGTCCTTACTTGGGGCGACCCACATGATGGTGGCGATAGCTCTGCCGTGCAAGATCAGCTCAGGAATGTGCAGCAGGTTCATGCCACAAGTGGAGCATTTGCTGCAATCTTGGCAGATGGATCTGTCGTTACTTGGGGCGACCCGCATGATGGTGGCGATAGCTCTGCCGTGCAAGATCAGCTCAGGAATATGTAGAAAAGGGCAAGGGAATTTGATGGTGCACTTGTTGTTAAAGCCTTCTATGGTAGGTTGGTGAAGGTAAGATGCCAGGTGTCAATTCAGAGCTGGCAAAGACCTGCGATTTCACCATACCATGTCATGTCTGCCATGTCATGATCTATTATATATTTCAGCAGTTGAAACCGTTTCTTTGGGATTCTTTGGGGCATTGTCCATTTTGAGACATGCGATTTTGAAGATTTTGCACGTAGTTGTTATGTTGTTGAGGGGAAACACCAGACTAGAGGTTGTAATTCGCCTTGCTGAGATTTTCGCATAAGCCCGAGGACTTGCATATTCACTACCGCTTGTAGGGTTTCATTTGGTCGTTTCTTAAATCATAGGGGATCCCCTGGCATCACCATAGGTTTCAATACTAAGTCATGGTCAAGTCATGTCATAGTCAAGTCATCTCAGGTCTAATGACATTGGATCAATGGTCATTTCAGGATCCTAAAATGGAGGTACTGTGCCATATAAGGCCATATTTTGTGGTGATATTCACTTACATAGGCCTTATATATGGTAGGTACCTCCATTTTAGGTTCCTGAAATTCCCATTGATTGGATGATACCTGGGGATACCCCCGTGACTAAACCAACCACTTCAAACAGCTTTGCATGGGGGAACCAGTTGATTTCATGCAGTTGTGGTTGCAGAGGACCTTTTAGCCATGAAAGGTTGTCAAAACATGGACTGTTTGGTGCTTTGGTCCATGTCCCAGGGATGCCACCAGTTGGGAAGATTCACCAAGGTTGATGTTGGCAGGGGTAGGTCAATTGGCCAGTCCACTTCAAGCAGCGTGGGTATTTGCACAGATCCGCAACCACCTGATCGATTCCAAGCTTTTGCCAGGTCCCCAGGTATCTCCAAAGGAGATACTTACATTAGCCACCATTATAACGACCTCACTGCGACCTAACTGGGAATCATGGTTAATAAGGGGAATCCCCAAATGGCCTTAATTCAGGTTAGTGAAATATTATAATTTACCCAGATAGTGATGATTTCCTACTTTCTGATAGTGAGAATGACGATAATGACACGGCAATCACAATGGACAATGAAGGATATGCATATACTCATCGCATCTCATAGTAATCATAGTGATCGCTATCATTTCATGATAATAATAGTAATAATAGATGGATACTAATGATCACTATCATTTCATCTATCATCGCTCATGTCACTGATATATCACTAATGTCATTAGTCATTTTGTGATCGCTGTTAATAATGATCACTTATACTGGTTGGTGGCTTGGAATATTTTTATTTTTCCATATATGGGGATTATGGGGAATGTCATAATCCCAACTGACGAACTCATATTTTTCAGAGGGGTAGGGCTCAATCACCAGCCAGAATATTATTAACAATCATTAACCATATAATAACTATAACCATATATTGCCCATTATTAACAGTATATCCAACCAGTAAATGTCTATTTTGTCTGACTGTCTGACATGTCCGGCAGCGCTGTCACCAGGTCTTGCAAGAACTCTGGCACTTGGAACTGCTTCCGGCGGAGCTCATGGAGGCCACCGGTTTTCCGGCGAAAGATGCAGAACTTGGGAGGTAAGTCTCAACGTTGCCGCAAGATGATTCGTTGCGATTCAATGGGATTTAACCAACCAAAATCGTGTTTGATATGGTTTTATAATCCCCAATAACTATGCTTCTGGATGTATAATATATACGTATAATATATATATATATAGAGAGGTGTTTCCATAGTCATGGGGGTACCCCAAGCTCGCTGGATGGTTTATGATCTGGAAAATCCGAAAATAACATGGATGATTTGGGGGCACCCCTATGACTTAGGAAACCTCCGTATCAATCATATGAGTTTAAGTTGTTGGTAGCTGGCCTACATAACTGGCTTAAGTCAAGTGGATTATCACATATTGACAGACTCACTTACTAAATGTCACTAACTAGTTAGGTCGTTAGGTAATCAGGAGCAATTACTAAACCGACTGGGTTTTTAGGGCAGTTCTACTCCATCTCGTAGGAAGAACAGTCACTTTGGAACAGCCAAAATGGGGATCCAGAAAACGAAGATGGTATGTCACTGGGAGAAAACCAGTAAGATAGCTATGGATTTATGGATGATCTGAGAAGTTACTGTACCCTCTGTGGTAATAAAACTCACAGTGAGCAAACTGGCAAATCACCATAATTTTACTAGTAGTATAGTAGAATTTCTGGTAAATGATCAAACTAAATGGACCACCTGTTCCAGACCGGAGGGTAATTGCCATTTATATTCAATTTTTATTAGTTATTAGTTAAATAGCATTAAATAACTATTAATCACCATCAAGTCCGATTAAATCCCATTGATTGTCGAGGTTACCAGCAAAAAATGCCTGAATTCTATGATATTCTTGGTATATACCACATGTTTCTTAATATCCATGGGATCCCATACCAAGCGGGGCCAAGGGGCCTGGCCCTCCTGGCTTTTCAGGAACCCGATGATCCTGCGGCTGTCACGGGATCAACGGGATCGCCGCGCTTGTACCGTTTCGAAGCAGATGGAGAGGGGATGGAAAACATATCGAATGCGTGGTATCAACCAACAGTAATAGGGACAAGTGAACATGGAAAAACTGGTGGTTTTATTTGAATGAAATTGGATATTTGGACCAAATATATCCAAATATGGGATTTATATGGGTTTGAACCACTGATAACAGGGAAAAACAAGATGGAGCATGGTGGTTTTATTCAAATTCAGTGGGGATAATAAGCAACAATATACAACACATATTGGATTTACATGGGTTTTAACCATTGCTAATATGGGCCTTGATCAGTAAATGACTAATAATGGTTGGGATACAACGGGGGGCTTTAGTGTGGAATATGGGGAATTAAATTAATGATCACTTTCCCCATCAAAATGGGAATTTTGTCGGCTCTAGACCATTTTCAGACAAACCCAAGTTTTGTTTTCTTGGGCGTTTCTAGAATCTTTCGTCTTAACTTAGTCTTAAGCACCAATGTTGGGTCTCAGATGAGGCGGGGGTCTTGACTCATGAAGAATCTTTATTTGTTGCAGATCTGCCGGAAACTCCGGTTGAACTCACTGCCACTTGCAGGGTTACGGTCGGGGATCAACATCTTTAGCAACAGTTATCATCTGGTTGGTGGTTTGGAACATGAATTTTATGACTTTCCATTCACTTGGGAATGGAATAATCATCCCAACTGACTTTCACTCCATGATTTTTCAGAGGGGTAGGGCGAAAAACCACCAACCAGTCATGGTTCAAGAAATAAGGAGAGATTTTTACACGTTACGCCCCTAAGCTGGTGCCCCGAAGCCAGGGCCAACCCAGCCAGTTTTATCCCGGGATGACCGTCTTTCTCCATTGCCATACGTTGACCCTGACGCAGCAAGAAAATAAAACACACACTGTATACCCGGCCTGGTAAACTAACAGTTTGCGAACTGGAAAATCACCATTTTTCATGAGTAAATCAACTATTTCTATGGCCATTTTCCATAGCTATGTTAAATTACCAGAAGGTATCTGGTTGGTGGTTTGGAACATGAATTTTATTTTCCCCAATAGTTGGGATGATGATCCAATCTGACTCATATTTTTTAGAGGGGTTGAAACCACCAACCAGGTATAATTATAATATATATATAATTTTAATATGCATATGTATAGGACTCCCAAAACGATCGAAACTTTAATAGACACCTGTTTTCAGTGATTGATGATGTTTCCTTCATAATTTTTCAGGTGTCCAGCTTTTCTATCTATTTCGAGATTGCTATAAATGGAACTAAGATGGCCCTGGAATCGAGATTGGATTCCTGGTTGACCTTTCTATTTCTCTTGATCAAGAAACCATTTAAGTTGGCTAAGTACTAGTTTGTCTTGCTACACCGTGTCTTGTTGTTATACCTCACTTTTCCATGTTTTTGCTGCAGAATTCCATGGTTTTTTGTTACAGAACATTGTTTTTTTGTGGCCCGCCACACCCGTTAGGTCTCAGTGATGGAGTTTTTGCACCCCGCCACCAGCTGGGTGCTGTACCTTGCTGGGCCTGGAAGAAGTTGGTTGACGTCAAACTGCTGAAACTCCTAGATGAGGCGGAGTTGCTGGGAGGATCAGCTTGATCCATACATGGCAAGATGGGGGGGTCAACAATGCGAAGTAATGGCTTGATCCATACCAAAAAAGAGATTTTTACACGCCACTTCACACACCAAATGCTTTGAGCAGCAGTTTGCCTGTTGCAGATAGAGATCTGAATGCAATTGTATGGAGTTTGGGCTCACGATTTGTCACATGTTCTTGAGGGGGATAATATATATATATATGTATATATATACACACACACTGGTTACATGTTTCTTTCTTTTTAATTTCGATCTTTGAAGTTTTTTGTTTTGTTTCCTCCAACAAAATGGCATTTAAGCTTCCGAAGAAGCGGCTAGACCGGGGTGTTTTGACTTGGAGTAGGTCCTAAAAAATTGATCTTTTGGACAGTCATTTTCCAAGACCAGAGGGTAATTAGAATCAAGAATCCCCGTGGTTTGAAACTCCCATCTTGGTTGGTTACTGTTGGTTCAGAATACAAACATTCGTTTGGTCATTGGCTTGAACTTGCAGGAAACATATACGAGAAAACCTTGCTGTACCATCAAAAGTAAGGACTTCTGCGGCCAATTTCACCTCTACTTTGGTGGATATCCTTGTGCTTGGCATATCCACATTTTGCTGAGAGCTAGAGCAACCCGGAAACTGGACATCACGAGGTATACGCAATCTACAACGTCCTGCAATCCTTTTTTTTTGGGTGTTCCAACAAAAAGTTCGCTAGCTGAACTATTTTTTCCTACAAAAACCGAACCAATGGGACCCTTTAAGCACCAGTGAAGCTTTGGTTTTTTTCGGGGTATGCCGGGTATGCCCAAAGATAGGAAAACAACATCGCCATACCCATCTTTCTGGGGACAGATGGATGTTTCAACATTGTTCAAATCATCAAACATTGCTAAACCATCTCTGAAAATTTTAGAGATTGGCGATGGTTTAGCAATGTCTGATGATTTAGCGGAACAAACTATGCATGATGCTTTTTATCTGGCACAAAAATTACCCATGATGATGTTTCTTTTGAAACACAAATAAATAGCTCTGTGAATTCCCGAAACCAATCTATTGAAACTAGTTGTGATTGGTTTACCCCCCTCTACCCCTTGCAACTGCATTACAAAAAGGGTCCCTAGTATAACCCTAAACCCTGAATTTGATATAAGCCCAGGAGAATTCATCATGATTATGACTAGGTGGATTCCATGGTTTATGATACAGTGCAGTAGATGTTTCTTGTTTCTACAGTTAACGGGGTTTGCAAACCAAGTCATAACTGGCGAAGCCCACCTTGTAAAAGTGATATGCTTATTGTTTATTGATAGGTTCAATCCCTATTCCTGGTTGGTGGTTTGGATCATTTTTTATTTTTCCATATATTGGGAATGTCATCATCCCAACTGACGAACTCATATTTTCCAGAGGGGTAGGTCTACCACCAACCAGCTATTCTTATTGGTCAATATCGCCATAGTTGATTGATCGCATTAATCCCATTTTTGTAGTGTATAGATATCCCCCGCAATTCCTAGATGTATGCTAGATACATCCAGTTAAATCCCATGACATCACATTTGCTGATATAAGATCAAATAATATCAAATACCTATTGTCGAGGCGGAGAATCATCCCACTATCCCACATAAAAGTGGTTTTTCCCACATAAAAGTGGTTTTTCCCACAGAAAAGTGGTTTTTCTCGCCCATTTTTCTCCCACAAAAAGCTGCGAAACATCGCCGCTCAAGGCGTTCATCGGTCCGGAGTCAACTGAGTTGTCCTTCGTGCAAAGGGTCTTGGTGCCGTTGAGCCCCGAGGTGCTGTACCAGTGGCTCGGTGGAGGCCATGGAGGCGATGGAAGTAGCCCCATTTTAGGAAAGCTCCATATTAAACATACAATGTGAGGCCCCCAAGATATAAGTTGGTTTAGATCCGCCCCAGTAACTGTAGTTATAAATACCATGAGCCATAGTGAAATTGGAGTTATTTGCACCAACTTATATCTTGGGGGCCTCACATTGTATGTAAATATATATAACATCTACCATAGAGCATGGAATTCAGTTTTTTTTTGTTTACCAAGTTAGCTACAATAGAAATCAATGTGATACAAGGTATATACATACATATTATAGGCATGTGAATTAATTATAATATACCAACCATACAGGGGATATTTCAAGGAATATAATGAAACATATGACGTGGGCGTGGTTTCCATTAAAAATGGGGATTGATCCCGAATCATGGCCCAATGAGGCATGAGAAGATCAACCACTATGAAGCCAGAATCATGGGAATACTATTGAAAATAGGATATACAATAGTATATTCTATTGTAGTATTGATAATAGCTATAGCTATGGATATCTATAGATAGTACTACACCATTGTATGGGAATACTATTGTAATATTGTATATCTGTAATATTGACAATAGCTATAGCATGGATAAAATATTACAGATAGCGCTACGAAAAATACTATGGGTAATACGATCAGTTCGTAATCATTATATAGCACAGCCGTGGAAAATGACCTTTTTTCAGATGATTTACCTATTGAAAATGTGGGTTTTTCATAGCTATGCTGCTAGATTACCAGCTATCAGCTCGCAAGAATTATTCGAAGATCATAAGTACCATAACTGTAATGGGCTCAATTCATTTTCTCCATTACTGGAGGGTATCCCTAAGTTAAAATCAATGAAAATCATAGCCTTAAAATCAATCAAATGACTCATTCTAGCCCTAGAGAATTAGTGATGGTCCCCATAGTTGATCCAGGGGTACAACGAGTCACTTTCTTTCCGCCGTTTTTACGTATGAAAAACCGCCAGCTATGAACCGCGAGGTGATCAGCAACAAGATAAGGGGTCATGATCTCACCCGATCTCTCACCAGAAATACCTTCCACATAGATCTGGGTAGATTTGATCACGACCGAACCCTGTTCTCCCGAACCCTGGAATCATGGTTGGGATTCGGGAAATAATCCCCTTTTATGGCCGCAAGATTCAGGTTAGTGAAAAATTATAATTTACCCGCATAGATTCCTTTTTTTATGTGGACTGGACATTTGCGATCGTCCATAATATCCTCTCATTTCTAATGAGTATTAATACCTTCCAACAAATATAGCTTTTATGCTACCCTACCCAGCAACCCTCATGAAGTATTGGACTTGTTCATTTATGAGGCCAACAAAAAGGGGATACCGAATATGACGTCCAATGGATTGGTCGCTGGAACGATATCAAGGAGAATCATCTCCAAATGGTGAATTATTTCAGCATGGTGGATTATCAGAAATCCAGGATGATATCCGTTTTGAACGATAGAAATATATTGGTAGTATCATGGTGAAATATCTTGGTAAATTAAAGGAGTATCATGGTGAATTAAATGATATCTTCCCATGATATTCATATCGTAGAAATCTAGATTCTTGGCGCTGGAAGCGAAAGAAAAGATCATCGAACAAGAAGCCCATTGCATACAGTAAACCCCACATTTGAGCCCACTAAGAAATCAGCGTTGTGAATTTCCTGCACGCGACGCGTTCGTTGCGTTCGTTAAACGAACTTTCGAGGCAAATCCGTGAGCACTTCGTGCTGGAAGTCCATCCCCATGAGGTCGAAAGGGGGTGGTTTTGGATCAGCAATTGAGCAGTGGCTGCTACCCTCTGGTAAACTAACATAGCTATTGAAAATGGCCATTTATAGTGAGTTTTCCCATAAAAAATGGTGATTTTCCATGGCTATGTTAGTTTACCAGAGGGTAAACCCTGGTTGATGATGGCATTTCTATGAGATTTATGGGCATATGTATCCACCTTCAAATTTCAGCTACGAAATGGGGAGGACTTGGGCTACAGTACAGATTGCCAGCCAGCATTTTTTTGTACAAACAGGAGGGGTTGTGCCCCCCATTTTGTATTTGGAATCATTTTGTAGTTGATTCCTTTCAAATCATGCATTTTCATTTTGTAGTTGTATATGTTGAGTTAGTTGAAGCATCCAACATAAAATTTCATTGGCATTTTGTAGTTGTACAAGTTGAATAGTTGAAGCATCCAACATAAAAATCTCATTTGCATTTTGTAGCTGTACAGGTTGAATAGTTGAAGCATCCAACATAAAATCTCATTTTCATTCATGCTAAACATTCATTTGCATTTTGTAGTTGTATGTATGCTGAGGTGCAGGGATAACACAGATAAGGAATGATCAAGATGGGTAAGAATGAAAAAGACGTTCAACTTTAATGAATGTCCCCCACTAACTGAGAGCCAACCCCCATTTATGTTGGTCGGAACTTTGGATGGCAAAGACCCAACTACAAAATGTCATTGGGAAAAATCATGTTAGACATTATGACGTTCAGCTATTTTTTTGACTTCAGATGCATTGGATTTTGTAGTACTGGTTTTGAATTATTTTCCGAGCCAGAAAGAGTTATGTTCTTCATTTTGTAGCTGAAAAAAAGTACATGCACTTGCATTTTGTAGTTGTGCACCCTATGCATTCCGCTCTGTATCTACCAAAACCATCTGCACAACTCCTCCCCCCTTATCTGAACCCCGATGCATATGTGATGTTGATATAGTTGATAATCGATTTACATATGGGCCAAATGCGGCTGCTGACCAACCCAACCAATTGGGGATATGAACACCTGCGTTTTTTCATAGGGAGTTCACCAATGAACATTTTGGCGATGCCGAGATATCTGAGTTGAATCAACTACAACGGAGAGTTTAGCCAGATTAGCCAGCAATAACAGGATTTTTTTACCAATAAATCATGGATATATTTGGATACACGGGAAATATATCTGGAACAATTCTAGTGGTGACCTCACTGCGATGTCAATGATGGGTAGGTAACTAGGGTAACTATCCCAAAATTTGGCCCAATTTTCAGGCTGAATCGCAATTTTATCCAGATATTTGAATGTGGCAACCATGCTGGAGGGGTTTCTTGAAGACATGAGGTTTGTTTCAAAAAGCTTTACGAAAGCGAGCTTTCAGCGGCAAGTCCAGCCAGAAAAAGCGGAGTCAACCAACACAAACTAAAGAATGATATTTCACCCACAGCGGAACTTTCAAACCAAGCAAAGTTCGTATTTTTCGAGCGGCATTAGTCAATAAAAAGTAAGGAAAACACGTCTCTTATCAGAACTGGAGGTTTCCTGAAATGGGGGTACCCCTAAATCATCCATTTTAATAGGATTTTCCATATCATAAACCATCCATTGTTGGGGTACCCCTAAAATATAGGAACCCCCCAGATGACAAATGGGTAGGATGATCCTTCGAGTGTTAAATCAACTAGCTGTAAACCAACATAGATGTGGAAAAATCCACCGCTTTCATCCATTTTCTATAGGTATATCAGGTATATCATTTATAAATGGGTAATTTTTGAAAAAATCACCTCTATCTTAGTTTGCGGGCAAGTTATGGGGGTTCAGCCTCAGATGTGCTGGAAAATCTCCCTCCGGGTATGGGTCTACAGGTCCAGGGGTAGGGATGATCCCCGCCCCCCTGTGGATAGGTGATCATATATAGATACAAAGGTAGAAAGGAATGTATAGATATGTATGAGCTCATATTTTTATATAGGTACCGGTGATCTACCCCGTCCCCCCTGTGGGGTAGGTATGTAGGGAAAGGATATATATATATACACATTTACATATACAATTGGTATACAAGTGGGTATATGTGGTGGGGATTCTCTCTCCCTCCCCCTCCCCCTGCTACCTGTTGGTGGGTGCGGTCTGGTGTGTGAGGGCTATGTTGGCACAAGATAGTATAAGATACTAGGTATGTGTAGGTATATACTGTATAATAATGTATTATATATATATCTATCTATGTACATCTTATATATATATATATATACATATATATATATACATATATATACATATATATATATACACATATTAAATATGCAAAACACATGAGAAAGTAAAGATATAAGATAGGTAGTAAAAATATAGGATAGAATATAGGTAGCATATAGATAGTATATAGATAGTATGTAGACCTATAGATAGCCTCTAGGTAGTATTTAGATTAGATAGTATATAGGCTCTATGTAGATAGCGCATAGATAGTAGATATATAGCATGTAGATAGTATATAGGTAGTATACAGGCATAAGATATAGCAGATGGTTGATCAGGGGTATATAAGGGATTATATATATATACATACGTAGGAACAGGTCGTACGTAGGGAGTTTGAGAGTTTGACTTTAGTATGTGCATTGGGTAGATATGCCAAGAGGTACCAAATACCAGCAAAATACGAGGTAGAGGGGCCCCTTCCCGGGGGACCCACGCCATTCCCCAGGTCTTATGGGCCCTGCTGGCACTTCTGCAGCACCTCTTTCTGCAGGAAGCCACGCCCGCTGAGGGCTGGCATGCATTGGGGGAGGCCTCCATGGGGCTTCACCCATGTCATCATGTACCCTCTGGTAAACATACAAAAAGCCATTGAAAATGGTGATTTATAGTTGATTTTCCCATTAAACATGGTGATTTTCCATAGCTATGTTTGTTTACCAGAGGGTATCATCCGTAATTTTACAACTGCTGGCTGCTTGCTTTGGAGTGACGCTTTGGAAGTTTAGAGATTCTGAATCAATCACCCGAAGGCTCCAGATCATTTCAGATCATCAGCAGGCACACGCACACACGCACACACGCACACACACACACACAAAAAAAAGTCATCCAAATACTCACTCTTGGGACACAAGCAAAGATTAAATTGTACAGTTTCCGGATCACACATTCACATGCAAAAAGTTACTGTATTCACAGCTGCTACAGCGGCTACTGCTGCTACCGCAGCTGGTGCAACAGCAGCCGCTGCTGCCACAGTTACCATGCCGTTCTGGCTGCCAGTAGTGGGGGCTACAAGCCTTGTTGTGGGCGCTGTTCTTGTGGTGAAGACCCAGGCGTTTGCAGACAATGCTGTGGAGGAGGCCCAACCTCCACATGGTACAGTGCTGGGGCATGGCTCGTTTGGCCGGGTGACATTGCACAAAGAAGGTGCTGCATGTGTTGCTTTGAAAAGCATTCCGCACTGCCTGCTGCAAAGCCGCAGCATGGAAAAGGCTTTGCACATTGAGCGCGAAGCGCTAGGGCTTTGCCGAGCTTCCCCGTTTATTGTCCAATATCTTGGGCACATCGACGACGAAACTGAAGCGGTGCTGGGTGTGCCGTGTCTGGTGGGCTTCGTGGTGTTAGAGGGCGCCATCGTGTCGGGGTCGGCGCGCGGTGGTCGTTGCTGTCGTGTTTGTTCACTTGGCCCAGGTGGTGGGCGTCGCGCCTGGAGCCGCTTGTGGCTCTTGCAGCGTCTTCTCAGTTGTGGTTTGCAACCAGTGCTGGCTCCGCCGCTGTGCCCCGTTGCGGGTGCATGGGGCGGCTGGGGGTTGAAGCCTGCTGCGGGCGGGGGGAGGCGGAGGTAGACGGGGGTTTCCCTGCGCTGTGTGGTTTGTTTCCTGACTCTTGGGGCACTTGCATTCTTGTTTTGGCGCAACGAAAACCGAAGACTGAAGTGATGATTGGTTGCAGTCACACGGCAACAATAGTAGAGAAAGTCAGAGAAAGCGCACCTCAGGGCAGAGCGCGCAGGCGTGTTGGAGTGACCCAAGATGCTGAGGGTTCTAAAGTGAAAAAAAGCAACCAGCTCAGGAATACGGCTGCTGACGCGTGGTATGTGGTTGCACTGTGAACTGCATATCAATGATGTTATTTGATGGCAAAATATGTCAGGGCCTGGATGTTGAAGCATCAGTGTCAGTGCAGTTTGAAATATAACTTCGCCTATTTATTTATTTATTTATTTATTCATTCATTCATTCATTTATTTATTTATTTATGTATTTATTTATATATTTATCTTTTTATTGATTTCTTTATTTGCTTGTTACTGTCTAGTGCTAAATCTACATATTTGATATTATTGATATTATTACACAAAATGAATAATATGGTGTATTAATAGTAACTCTCAGTTGTATACCTGTATATTATATATCACTGTAGTACTGTGAAACTTTTAACTACGACTTTGGCTATCATTGAATAGATCGTGGAGCAGTTTTTAGAACCGAACCTTTTTGGTTCCATGGTCCATTACCAATTTTGTAGGTTTGGGTGCGTTGGCCGTGCGCTGCTCAGGTAAACTTCAACGGAGGTGAAGTTCCGGGTGAACGCTCTTTGCTTCCCCATTCCTCACAGGAAACCATTGATGAGTCTGGGATTGCTGTGCCAGTTCTTCGGAGTGCTTTTGGCGGAAAGCCTGCGCCTACTCCTTCTTATACGACTTCATCTCCGTTCTCTTTGAAATTCTCGGATGCTACACCGCTTGGCGCAGGTCCACCTCCCTGGTTTGATCCTTTTCAAGATGAGGATGCCAGGCTCGCCTTTTTTGCGTCTTTGGCAGCAGAGGGCTGCCTCACCCATTTCAAAACGTACAACGACGTCAGCCTGGACAGTTTTCGTGTGGATACAGCCAGCTTGCTGGACAACCTCGCGCTCCACATGATGAAAATTGTTGGGTGGCAGAAGGAAGCGAATGGGCCACTTGGTTTGATGAAGGTTGTCAAGCATGCAAGCAGCAAACAGCATGTTACAGTTTCAACAAGTGTATCAGAAATAGCTATTGTGAGATGGACCGATATGTTTTGAAGCGTCTTGTACTTGTAGTAGTTATCTAAGACTGTTTCAGGTACAGCCGGCCCTCACAAGAGAGTTGCTGCAGTTGGGGCAAGATGCACTTCACGAAGGTTCAAGTCTGCAGCATGTGCACAGGGTCAGGCGCCGGTGAGTTGGCCATCAGTTCCTTGACGAAGGCCTACGGAAAGGTGTTTGGTAGATCCGTGAAATGCCACACGCCCTTTGTTTGTGAGAATGTTGCCAGCAAACAAACCCACCTTCGGAAGCTCATGTCCCAGCTCCATCCATCTGATCCTGATCACAAGTCCATGTGCGGCGGGTTGTGTTTGATTTTTTGCAGGATTTTTGCGCGGCATACACCAGGAAAGGGATGTGGGGCAACGAAAAAGATATCAAATGGCATGTTGCTTGTGTTGCAGAAGCTGTTGCTTTCATCCATGAACGCGGGGTCACCCGCAGGGACTTCAAGCCACCAAACCTTTTGTTAGATGCGCAGGGCAGTACCGTGCTCCTGCAATGTCACGAGGTGCTTGCTATGATGCAGCCGTGGATTGGTGGGCGCTTGGTTGTGTTCTTTTTGAACTATGGTCAGGCAAGCCCTTGTTTACAGGAAAAACCGATGATTTTTTCAGTGCAATTGCGAGCTTCAATTTGGCTTGTTCAGCAAGCTTTTCGGGATGCAACTGCCTAGGCGCCGCCAAGCTCATGCAACAGTTGTGCACAGCAGATCCAAAGGGACGCATCGGAGCAAAAGTCATCAAGGTCCACTTCTGGTATGAAAACTACGCATGGCCCAACCCATCAATTGCACAGGTCCAAACCCAACCTTGCTGCAAAGCATAAGCTCTGCGTTCGTCCATTCGCAATTTGCAGCCAAAGCGCCGCAACCGAGAACGCTGCAGCAGCACCTCATGGCCATGTTCAAGCTTTGGCAGCTGAAAAGGCAAAAGCCAAGTTTTTGGCAAGGGTCTTGAGAAAAGGCACCAATGCCTGACAGCCACTGCTCCGCGATGAATTGCACAAAATGGCATCGGTATGTATCGATGTTTTTTCCTCGTTGACTTTCTTTAACCGTTTTGACCTGCTTTGACACTCTGTTACTGTTCCCTGCTTTTTGGTTCATGAGTTGTTTTGGTTAGCCTTGTTTCCAAGAGTCACGTCATCTCAGTATGTTTGCGCATTTTTTTTGGGTCAAACCATTCTTTGATTGAACATGGTCCCCATGTTCTGCGATCAACATCTATCTTTCTGGGTTGTGCCGGTCCCAACTGTTGTGGTT